ATGGTTAGTGGAAAATTATTATAAGACCACATCCCTACGCTTACATTTTCCAGAGTGGTGTATAGTTTTCAGATATTCGGATTGTACATGTACGGTGTTTCAATATTGTTCTTCGTATACATGTATGTGGTTCTACTGCTAGATCCTCGCTGGTACTGGACGATCAATGTCATTAAGGTGACGTTTATATTATGCCTCCCCTTCAAAAAGCGAGAAAGTGTCGGGTGCAGACCAAACACCACAACTGACGACGGCCTCCAAGTAAATCTGGTTAGTAGTGTTCATAGTGATAGCTGATTTTTGGTAAATGATAGTTGTAATTAGTGACAACTGATAGAATACAACTGCAACAGGCTAATCATTTCATTGGCAGAAAACATTTCATTTTGTGAAGGCCGTCGTCACTTGTGGTGTATGGTCTGCACCCGACACTTTCTCGCTTTTTGAAGGGGAGGGTACCTGATTGATTTTGTCATCTTCGATGATCACATCAACGTGATGTGTTAGACTGCACACCATGTGACGTAGGCCAGATTGCGCTCATTCCAGAACGAAAATGAGGAAACTGACCTTTTTGAGAAAAAATTCCAGTTCCGAACCCGGTACGGCTAAACGCGTGCATGAGAATACCACTCTAAGAAGAAGCGCATCATGATTTTTAGGATGAGAGCGAAATGCTCAGAAAAGGTGGAATAAAGGCACGCTCCGGGACTAGACATGCACACCTGTTCATATGTACCCGAGCGTAGTAGGCAGGCATCCAGCGTTGATGTCGCGCGGCTTGAAAGTGCGCGACAAAGGCGCTGGAAGCTCGCTCGACCCGCAATCCACACCTTCGTCCGCAAGCCCCGCCTTCCGCTGTCGGTTGCCACGTGGCGCTGCTTGAAAAGCGCGGGCGCAGTTGGGCAGCGGTCCATTGCGGTCCAATGTCATTGGCACTGGAGCAACTGGAGCTAGGTTCGTGAAACTCGTCCAACACGCCCCTTCCCTACCCCGAAGGTCGGAGTCCGGCATATAGAGAGGATCGTTATTCGCGGCATAATCCGGGGTCTATCTTGGTTTCTTCCACGTTTTCGGACCACTCCCCACCTGTTGTTTCATTGGTGAACGCTCTTCCACACTCATTTTATCCCAAAGCTTTAGTATACGATACATCACTCATCTATTTCACCTAGTGGGACATAAAGTTTGAGTCGGTTTCTGCCTTGGCTAGTCCTCGCCGGCTAGACCTCCTATTTTGCAAGCTTGAATTTTAATACATTCACAACGAAGTGAAAACATTTGCACCCTGATCAGACAATTCTCTTGCGAAAGTTATAAGATTCGCTGAGCTAGAAGAAAATTTTGAATTGAAAAAAAGACTTGGTAATGTAATATCGCAATAGAACATAACTTGAAAGCAGTGTGGTTTCAATTGAGTGACGGATGTTCCTGTTTTGCAGATTTTAGATGTAGTGGGACACTAATCTCGCCTCGTCACGTTCTTACAGCTGCTCATTGTTTATTCAACCACAGTTTAAGTGAAGAAGAGTGCAAGTTGCAACGCAAGAAAGCAACTAATAGCAGGTTTCATATACATAAATTAAGCACAGAGTAGGGCCGTGATGTGCTGTGCAGATCCCGGACAATTTTTAGTACTAATCTTCGCCGAAGGTGTCGGCTAGGAGGCTTACCGCGCAGCAAACGCGGCACCTTGAGTCTCGCGCTCACCATTGGTTGACGAGAGCATTTATTTATTATTTATTTATTTATTCATTTATTTATGCGTTAGTGACGCGCTAAACCATACTATACCAAGCTGGCGCAGCGATGGCCGAATAAGATGTTTACAATTATGAAACAACAAAAAAGTATCAAACAAATGCTCAATAGTGACTAAACGACGACCAGAAATAAGCTAATGTTATAGATAAGAGAAGGAGGTGAAAATACCACATGATGAGAGTTCTTATGATTTGTTGTGTAAAGGCATACATGTAATCCGCCCTGCGTATAAACAGCTCCTGGCTAACACATTCAGAACCTTTGTTTGAGTTTAAAGAGTTTGAATATGAATATTGAGAGAGTTTTGAATATTTTGTATTATTGATGAAACTGCTTCTATGCGCCTTCCTCGATTCTCGAACTTTTTTCTTCTCACGATCAGTTGTGTGACACAAATTATTGCTCTCCAAACCGCGTAAAAAAGTGCAGACGAGACTATTTTTGAATCGGCGATTTTAGAAAGCAGTTCAAGAGCTTGCTAAAAAAGTCAAATCTTGCAGTTTACCACATTTCCTTCAGCTTTATCACAGTGACTCTAGAAAATGTTACGATCAATCGAAAGTTACAAACTCGCATGTGAACGTCAGAAAAAACTTGGGTAAACTTTGTACAGGCTCACTTAATACCTCATAAAAGTGTACCTAAACAAATACATACAAGGTGAGCAAATTACGATAACACGAGGTTGCTGCAGCCAATTCTAATTCTAAACACCAGGAGTCTCTGATGTATTTATTCTAATAATTTAGTATTCCATCTTTGATCCCGTCGCATGAAATATATCACTCTGAGGCAGGGTCAACCCTATGTTGCTACAAGTAGCAACGGGGGGGGGTCGTAGTTTGTTGGAGTTTGTGGTGGGGGGTCGTACTTGTTTCGGTAGCGTGAAATTACATGTGATGAGAGGTGAGAGCGCGCGGGAGAAAATTTGCCGTTTCAGCGTGCGTATATATCCCTTCCCCACTCGATATTGTTTTTGAAGGGAAAAAGTGGCCGTGAAGAGGGGGTCGTGTGAAACTTCTCGTGAAGGAGGGGGGTCGTAAAAATTTTGCAAAAAGTATCAAAGACCGACCCTGCTCTGGGGTGGACAATTTGTCAAATCCTTGAGAATTAATAACTACTTCGCTTGGACGAGCTATTTGATTGCGCTGCAGTGTAAGACGATTCTAATGCCTTTGAATTTTCCGTCGACTATCACCAGGAAGTTCAATAGGCTGTGCCTCTGAGAAGTCTTCATTAATTTATCAACGCAGAACTTTGAAAAACAATATTATTCCCTATTCGGCAGTTTTCCACTAATGTGATGATGTTGTTAATTTTAGACTTCTCGGCAGCATTGCTATTTTACGAGCCGTTTATGTTGTTACTGTAATTTTTGTCCTCCTTTTATCACATTGACGCCCGCGCCGATTTCGGCGCATGTCGCACATGTGACATTGGACGTATTGCGTGCATACTGGGCGATGCACAAATCTCATATGTGGGACATTTTGTGGATTTTCGTCGCGGGACCCACATAGCCGATTCGTTGGGAGAGGCGCGGGAACATTCCTTTTCCTATATGAATCATGAATCTTTCTTTCGTTTTGTTTTCTATTTCGTGACTAATAGCTTAATAAATGTTTAGCTTTATTTCGTACGTATTTTGCGAGCCTTTTTGAATGTCGTCAATATTCTGACACCGTTCTGGGTTTTGCAGAAAGAAAGGGTGAGCTCAAAGTCTAGGAACGGAATTTGCAAGCAATTACCGTTATTGATGATGATTTGTTAAGTAGTTAGGTATATTGAGATGTGACTATATTGACTTTCAAAGCACCCGAATTTGTTGAAATTGAAGTTGTCGCCATGCCACATGTCTTACGAATTCATGAGAATAGCAGAAGTCCAACAGTAAGAGAAGTGCTGGCCTGCATGGCCCAGGCTTGTCTGTAGTGAGTTAGAGGTGATTCCTCCTCTTGTGTGACCAGGAATGCCGTTGTATCTCTGCACTACCGCTAGTGGTGAATGTACCGACCGTCACCCTACCATGGAACCGATAGCATGAGTATAATAGTAATAATAACAGTATACATAGTAATAATTGAGTATGTGTACCTACGTGTACCGGTAGGATCTGCACATGAGTATAATAGTAATAATAATAGTATAGTAATAATCAAGTATGTGTACCTACGTGTACCGGTAGGATCTGCACATGAGTATAATAGTAATAATAATAGTATAGTAACAATTGAGTATGTGTACCTACGTGTACCTGTAGGATCTGCATCATATCGCTTCTTCAGCTCCACATAATAGGACGACTCAAAAAAATACGCTGATTCTAGCATTATTTTTTCGTTTAGCATTTCCAGTGAAATGCGCGGACACTGGAAAATGCTCCTCGGTACTCGATGCAGATCTCCCCAAGAGTGCGAAAATTGGTGGCTGAATCTAGATAAGGTTCGCTTTGGACGATCATCAATCATGCTCGATTATACCCTCTATTTCAAGTAACGAGAAGAAGGTCGAGTGCAGACCACACACAAAAGTGACGACGGCTAAGAAAAAAGAAAAGAGAAAGCCAGCCACGTTCTTCTCGGTCGTCGTCACTTGTGGTGTGTGGTCTACACTCGACTCTCTTCTCGTTTTCCAAAATTTCAAGGGTATATACATATTGATGTACTTAGGTATATTACCATGAGGACTTCCACGAATGCACTCGAGATAACGATATAGCGATATTCGAGCACAGCGAGAACATTCCTAACTTCATGGCTACACCGATCTGTTTGCCACCAAAGAATTTCACTATCGGTAAAAAAGCTGAAACAGCTGGAGCAGGGTTGACAGGACGTGCGTTAATATACCCTTTCATATTTTTACATTACTTTGCTACTTCGAAAGCAGCGAGCTCCCTGGGTAGCATGTAGGTTAACTTCGTATGGCCGGGTGGTTGTGGAAGGGCGTGGGTGAGCAACGGTCGAGGACATCTATATAAAGAATCGCTCGACTTTAATAGCAAAAAGCCCGTACCCGAGATTGTAGGGGTCATAACGGAGACAGTGGAAAAAAGATATAGCAGTTTAGAACGAAACCCTTCTCTCCTCCCACCCTTTTGGAGGACATCGACTTGCCTTAAAGTCAAATGCTAGAAAAAGCTGTGGTACTATGGTGGCAAGGGTAGCAGTGCGGGATAGGTGGTAGGGTAAGGTCGTCGTATCGGGGCGTTTTGAAAGGGGCCGTAATTTTTTTGAAATTTACTCCAGCGTCGTGGCATGACTCATCGAAATGAGATCGGATCATTTTTGAATGTTCGAAACATCGTAGTCAAGCAGGATTTCAGCGAAGAATTGGCTCCACGCGCGTTTGCCAAAATGGTTTCAAGTAATCACAAACCTTGTTGTGAAGAGAGCAAGAAATAAACGTATCGTTGTAAAGATGCCTTTGAGGAAAGGGCTCTGTGAAGTAAGTATCAGTTATCGCAGTACACTATTGGTGAAGTGATACAGCCACCCATAAACTTCAGAAATTGCAGCGGTTCAAGATTTATCAGAAAAACTTATTTGGACCATAAAAAAAGAGGTCTCGGTAAACAACAGAAAGTTATCGCGCACACGAATCGCACGAGAATTCTTAATGACTTTACGTGATTTAGTTAATGTTGTGTTCATCACTTTCATTTTTCTGAATTTTCTGAATTTCTTCATGACATTTTTTCCTTCTAACAACTGTATCTGAGTAAGTAGTGGAAGATAAAGAACTAACTTGTTGCAGTTGACTGGAGTATACCTCCATGGAAACTTTTTTCATGTATCATGCTATATCATGCTTCGTGGCCGGGGTCGAGCGGATGTAACGGTGATCTGTCCACGGGACCCGGGCAGGACCTATTCCCGGCCCCAAAAAGTATGTTGTGTGCTTACGCGTGTGTGAGTGTCCTGATTTTGCTGGGTAATCGGTCATCTAGCGGGCTGAGAAGAATGCGAATAGTCAGATGTTCAACAGGGCTTCATGCGATAAGTGCGAAATGCGTGGCGTGATGCATGCGAATGCGAGCACATGTTAGGAAACGGAATACTTACGGAACTTCATATAAACCAAGGCATTTAAAGACGTAAACATTACAAATTAAAACCTGTACAAGAGTTAGGAAGGTAAATGTAAACTACAGGGAAGAAACTACGGTGAATGGTAAACTAAGATTACTATTAAAGAAAATATACCAGAAAAGGATGAACTTCCGCATATGTGAATTAAACTACGAACCACAAGTTACTGCTATTGTTGAGGAATAGAGGGGAACACTGATTTTATTCAGTGTTTTGAGCAAAAGTAAGCATCATTTTAAGTACAGCGGCATGGAGGATTGTTGTGCGTATGCGTGGTCCGCCTTATGTTAAAGATGTTAGTACATATGCATGAAGTACGAACGTACCTTCTTGAAACCGGCGCGATCAAAGTCGTGCGCAAGTCACGACGCTCGGTTTGTTCCATCGTTTGCTATCATGTATGGCTTTTCTCTCATTTTCTACTGAAGGATAATTTTGGATTTTCACGTCAAACACTATCTCTGGTAACACTCGGGCTCTGAAAAAGATTCAGTTCCCAAGCACGACTCAGCAATATTCTATGGTTTTTCTCTTATTGATCTCTCTTATTGCATTTATTTTGATCAGAATGCATATATGGACATCCAAGGCTCTGAGGAGGTGAAGACTCCTCAGCTCGCTCAAATCCCACGCAGTTGTGACAGTTCCTACTGGTTATTCGAGACGAGTTCCAAGAAGATTTCCAATTTTCCCGGGATCCAGAAGCGGTCTTTGCTTTGCGACTTTTTCAGAAACATTTTGAACTTAAGTTTATAGGCAATTTAAGTGCTGTATCGTTTTACCAGCAGCGTATTATAAATCTTGTTGCTCTCGCAACTGACATGTTCGCTTGATCCTTTTTCGGACTTCAGGGTGACAGTGGAGCTCCGCTGTTCCAAAATGATGAAAATAAGACTTACACTCAAATAGGAATAGCGTCCAGCTTTAACTCATGCAGCACAAGTAAGTTATTGGAACACTTTGAATATTAATTGTTCACCTTTTCCTCTAATTGCCCACGTTGTCTCGCCAAAATCGTCGTACCTGTCTGGTGTATTCCTAGCGCTGCCATCATGGTCCTCTACACCACGACCTGGCCAACCCATTTAATAAGGGTAAAGCAGCTCATAAATGACCCGCCAAAATTCTGCTGAACGGAAGTCCTGAAAGGGAGAAGGGTAGGATACTGCTACTAAGAGATTAGAAAAAAAACACTGTTCCCCACTTTCAATTTCAATTTTATATTATTTGTTCTATAATATTGACCATGTCTACCATGAGCGTCGCCAATTGCCTCCAACGCTCAGGTATTTCATAGAAGTTTTTTTTTACTGTGCGAGTCAAAAAAGCAGGCAGCTTTGTATGATTTTTGATGATGATTTAAAGTCTGGAGTAGGTTGCAACATTCAAAGCTTGACCATAGAGCACGCTAGGTGAGGTTCCTCCCAGTTCCAGGAGTTGTCCGTGGGTCTTCGAATCCTGTTGACTAGCCGCGTCACGAAGAAAATGAACAAAATCGAGGTCCGACCGTTTTTGATGAGCTGTCTCGGTCAACTCTAGAGTTCTGCAGCGTCGAACTCTACCTCCATAACGATGCACATCGAGGAATTTACAGTCAAGCTCCCTTGACAGCCCTTGTGATGGAGGTACGAGATAGCTGCTTCTATTAGGTGGTTCGAGGTCTTGAGATGCCATGCATGTTTGAGGTAGCCGGTAAAGAATTTCTTATAAGATTCGCAGTGTTATATATGATGGGAAGTCGATTGTATCTTCTTACCTTGGTTACCTTTAAATTTACCATGAATTGTCATCGTGGAGGTTCGAAAGGTTTGAAAGATTTGAAACGCAGGTGTCGAGACAGTAGTTTTTGTAAGTTTGCTCTGCGACTGACATAATGCCGCGTAGCCTCGAAATAACAGGGTGAAGCGAAGGAAGCGTCAATAAAAGTTTGGCGAAACACCGAATCTAATGACTTGGTCCTGAGGAATTTCACCGAAAAGGCAATAGAGGTTGAGAACATAATTCTGGAGGTGACTCGGCCTTCTGAAAACCCCAGTGGAAGGCGATTTTGAATTCACTGCATTCTAGCCAGCAGTACGAGTAGAAGATAGCATATATGGTTCATGGCTTCTGGCGCTTCTGGTTCTCTGAAACGGAGGATAGTTCCGACTGCTCTGCTTGTTCAGGAATAGCGAAGGAATCACAAATAAACTTTTTTACGGTCTCTAAATACAGCTTTTTTGCACTCCTGCTTTGCTTTTCATTTTTGTGTCTCGAAGAACTTGACACGCTTGGAATCTTTACTGTGGGATGCTCGCCCACAAAATCTCGGAAAAACGTGCTGGATCCATATTCTAGTAAACAATCCACGCGTTGAACGTTATGGATACTAGCGGAGTTCTCACGTCTTTAACACGTTGACGACAACGCGCGTTTTGGGTTTTTGCGCCGCGTGGGACCACGGCGATTTTGCAGGCGCCGCCGCCTCACATCAAATCCGTGAATTTTGAGCTTTAAATACGCAAAACTCGGATGCAACAAAATGTTTAGAATGATATTCGATGTGTCAAACTTATCAGAAGGGACAACTGTAAAAATCGATCGAATTGACGTTTTCTGGCGATGAAAGGCAAGTTTCAGTTGCTTTTGCTGCAGTGAACCTCAAAATTATTTTTGACGCGGTTGCTCCACTAAAAACATATGTCTTGCTATATGTGTGGGTCTGTACTTACTTCTACTGCTCTTTTTTATGACCAAGATTATCAGAATATAAAGGAAACTAGGAATGAACACAATTGGGAAATTCGTAGGGCTTAGAAAACCTTCGCTAAAAAGGAGCATATTCAACCATTCAATGAACCTCGCCGTGTCTAGTCATATTATGGTGTAGTCTATAGAATAGATGCAAAAAATTAGAAAAGAAGTAGCGCATGCGCGAAAAAAATAAATATTTTGTGTGTGCAGCGCATGCGCTGCACACGGTCCCACACGGTGCTCAAGGTGTGATGCGCATGCGCTGCACAATGTCGTCAACGTGTTAAGAGATGCTGCCACAGCAGTCACAGCAGCCTCCCTTTCACAGCCGGGCCTCTCATAGGTGGCACCGAATGATGAACGTTGAAATGGTGGTCGAAATAAGCTAACTGGAGACGGCGAGTAAATCCGCAAAATGACACAGAAAAACGCCCCAGCGGAGCAAAACATCTGTTTTACGAGCAGATATGAGTGAGTTGGTTATGAGTGAGTTGCCACAATTTTATTCTACACTTTCAGATTTCAATGTGACATCGAGTGACGTGAAGTATCATGGCTTTTTTGACCGTTTCACTGACGTACGCGAATATGTGGGCTGGATTTGCATAAAGACAGGTGAGATAATTGCAGCTCCACGAATCAAAAATAACACTTCATTGGTTTAAACATCTTCCAGGAGTGTGTCCAAATGATGCCTCGTAAATGTATTTATCTTGAAGGACTGATACGAACGAATCCAATGCGTAAATGTTGACAAAAAACAGTTGCACTAAATAAATGCACTTTTAAATCTGTTGTCTACAGGATCACATCCTTTTGAGCAGATTTGGCACACCATCAATCATTTGGCTACAATATGTACATCTCGTGGAAACGATAATTTAGAGAACGTTAGAAATTCCTTGCCGCTCTGTCTGCCGGTCTATGGAATGCTTTTTTTATTGATCGTGTATGCTGGATCCGGGTCTTGTCGGAAAGGGAGCCCGAGGCGCCAAAAACCGTCCAACTTCAGGACTGAATCTTGAGGAGAGAAGAACTCCGTGGCCTATAAACCGTTTTCATTTACCCCTTTCTTCCCCTCGCTAGAGTGGTCCCTCTAGACCTCTTACATAACTCCCGTGCAGCTCAATCGGCACCGCTATTCTTGCCAAAATAGGAAACCATCTGCCATTTGGCCAAGAGGTCACAATTACTTCTTCGAAACATTTTTAGTAAGATCAATTTTCGTGCTTTTGATTTCCCTGATTTAGTTGCTCCCTAATGTTTTCCCCAAGTCACAGATGAAAGCTGTCTTTCATAGCTACTGTGTGATAAAGTTGCTTTAAAGAAATAATTGTCTGTATCTTGATGTTGTTATTGTAATCACATATATCCTAACAAGGGTAATTCTTTAAGGGGTCGTGTGAATATAGTTTGAGACATAGGGTTTGCTTTCGACCTCCTACACCATCCTCCTGATCACGTTTCCGTTCACCACCATATGCATAGTAATCCATCGCGACGGAAGACAGGGCGGCAAGCACAAGAAGTTGCACAACAGCATGGCTTTGAAGAGTTGGAGAGATAGCTCTCTAAAAGGTTTTTAGAGGAAAACGTTTGGTGACACAAGCTGACACAGCTGTTCTGTTTTTTTTTTCAAAAGGAGATCTTTTTTGTCTGGAACTTGAACGGCCAATGAACTAGGAAACTCTCAAATTTCCACGCTATATACGGAATTTAGACTAGAAAACGATGCGCAAACGAATCTCTCAAAATCAAAGAGAGTTGAAGAAAGCTGAAAGTCTGTACGAAAGCAAACCAAACCATCGAAAACACCGAATCAAAACACGAAACTCACAGTAAGATCTGATGTGGCTGTTGGACAGATAGAGCGACTTGGGGAGACAGAACACGAAGCCGTATATTGAAGCACGTCGATATATACACATCAGTAGCGGTGGGTGGGGACGGTTGCGATGGTTGCAAGCCTTCAACGATCAACCCCTAATCACACATTTTGTGCGACCAACTGTGACGACCTGTGCAGATACGGGCCTAGTACACTCGTGGCGTGGTACTAGAGAACTTAAGCTCGGGACATGCCTTTAAGAACTCCCACAAGTGGTCGGCTCCTTCAAAATCCCCAACCAGAAACGACTTTTTTGAGTTCTCTCGCAGTCAAATGAAAGACCAAGTTCTGCTAAATATCGGCCGGGATCTGGCGAATATTGCGAAGATGTCCCAATAAGAAGCCCTTGTTGGGCTTACCGCATGATAAGTGCGGTAGCGTGCGCAGCCGATCTGGTTAGGCCGGTGTCACCCTTTCCGAATCAAGCGAGCCGCTAGATTCCAAAGGGTGACACGTCCTCGCTTGAGGACATGAAGTTTACTTTGCTAAACGCAGAGATTCGCATAAAACGAATACAATCCAAACAGAAAAAAAAACTTTGGAAGTTGGCGTAAGAATAAAGACAATAAGCGTTCGTGATCTCGAAGCACACTTTGAACAAAGTGTGTATGTTTAGCTAGCGCTCTGCAAATCCCCTTCTTTGCACATCTGCTGATATGGCAGACCCTACACACAAAAGTAGAAGGAAATGCTTAAAAAAGTTAATTTGATGAGTGGCTTTACCAGAGCTGCTAGGGAATATATGAAAGTGTTCTTGCTATGCTATCTAATGCATGTCGGATATCCTTATCTCAACAGCTGTTACAAGGTACTTACTATCAAGATCTTAGTGTTGATCAGTGTGTGGTCTCTCACGGGAATGGGGTCTCATTCATTCAGCTAATGAGTTGAAGACAGCGGTGAGTCGGAATTACCTTGTAGTTTGTATCAACAACCAGCCTTGAGGCGAATTGTATAATATTCAAGATAGTGATGTTGCCCCATAAAACGCGAGGAGTACATTGCCTGGCATTTTACAACTTGAAGCGAGGCGAGGTAGAACAAAATCGAGCTCAATGAAGAAAAGGGTCTGAGTTGGATCGAATCGTTGAGGATGTTGCAGGCCGTGTGGCGGGGCATTTGCATTTGCTTCTTCACAAGAGGTAACTTAAGCTTAGCCACCACACTTTTTGAGAACCAGAGTACAACTGCCGCTGGGAGGTGCGCTACGATTTTCCAGTCAAACACACACTCACATGAGCACACACGCACACACACACTAGCAGACATACATAGCCAGTCATATATAGTAGGATGGCATCAACACTTCTACAAAGATACCCTGAAGTCCAGGTATTAGTGCAATTTGGGAAAATACTCGATGTAATAGCGGTCCGAGAGAAGTTGTCATATACAATACTAAGCATTCGAAATCAAAACATTAGAATGCGCAATGTTTCCAACAGTTTAATACCAAAAAGATCTACAAACATTAGAATAACGTACACCTCTCAAAATGGCTTGTTCAGATGATAGCTCGGTACTTGATATTCCTTTTCATTCTCATTCACACATCTTCAAAAAAGTTAACACCTGAGGAGAACGCCAAACTCATGAAAACATGCGGTCAAGAAAATTTGAGTGAGTTAGCCTTCTCATAACAGAAGACCAACTATTCCCCGAGCTGAATTGAACTAAGCCTGGTTCGAAAGACATACGATGAACGAGTCATGTGTAATGTTTTATTCATAGTTTTAAAGAGTCTGAGAAATATGCACACCGTAAACAGCGCCAGAAAATGCATCGGGTTTCTGCTCTATTTTTCTCTCAGTGTCTCGTCAATCTCTGAAGAAGCTCGCAACTGATTATTCTTCGCTGGGCCTTAGGCAGATACCCAGTTGATCCCGCCAACCAGCAATAGACAAGTAGAATTCCACTTTATAAAGTTAGTTAGGTGTATTTGTACATGCATGTGACTGTATGTATAGTAGTGCCTATCGATTTGCCATCAACACACACTCACATAGCACACCACGCACACACACACTAGCAGACATACATAGCCAGTCATATATAGTAGGATGGCATCAACACTTCTACAAAGATACCCTGAAGTCCAGGTATTAGTGCAATTTGGGAAAATACTCGATGTAATATCGGTCCGAGAGAAGTTGTCATATACAATACGAGCATTAAAAAGATCTACAAACATTAGAATAACGTACACCTCTCAAAATGGCTTGTTCAGATGATAGCTCGGTACTTGATATTCCTTTTCATTCTCATTCACACATCTTCAAAAAAGTTAACACCTGAGGAGAACGCCAAACTCATGAAAACATGCGGTCAAGAAAATTTGAGTGAGTTAGCCTTCTCATAACAGAAGACCACAACTATTCCCGGTTGACTGGAATTGAACTAAGCCTGGTTCGAAAGACATACGATGAACGAGTCATGTGTAATGTTTTATTCATAGTTTTAAAGAGTCTGAGAAATATGCACACCGTAAACAGCGCCAGAAAATGCATCGGGTTTCTGCTCTATTTTTCTCTCAGTGTCTCGCAACTCTGACGAACTGCAACGATTATCTTCGTGGCCTTAGGCGATACCACATTGCCTGCCAACTCAAGCAACAAACAGAGTAATTCCACTATAGAAGTTAGTTAGGTGTATTTGTACATGCATGTGACTGTATGGATGGATTGAGTCATAGCTGCTACCGCTTCGGTGACATGACAATGAATTTCTTCTGCGCATTGATAGCAGGCTGTTAGAGATCACGCTAGCTTGGGAAGAGGCGGGAACACAGATGATCGGGTGATTGAAAGTGATTCCAGCGGTAAAGGCTTACGAGAAAGGAATTTCCGTTAGTTTTATGAGGCAAATCCCAGAATTTTCGTTTTGTAAGCATTGATGGGTTGATATTAAGCCACGAAAAAGGACAGTGAGTAGAGGAGGCTTGATAAAAGCAAGTCTGGGAGATAATGCACTAGGTCCTAATAACCTGGCGACTACTGGAAAACTCGTTGTGCTGACGAATTCAATTCGAGAATGAATTTTTTTAAGTATGATGCAGTTCAGAGAGCACATACAAGTTATTCGGAGGAACAAAAATCAGGGAGCTTCAATATCCGTGGTTAGCTAACTTGAATTTAGGAGGTAAGATTCATAATGGATTCCTCTGTTATACTTATAAGGTTCGAATATCGAAATGTCCATTGTCGGCATGTGGGTATATCTGTCAGCTGCTCGTATGTATAGGATTTAATTTATTCTGTGGTATCAGTACAACCCAATAATATGTTGGAATTAATCCTGCCACGAGACAGCTTAAAGAGAATACTAAAAAGCAGATGACCGCCGGACGAGGAACAGCTGCTTGTGTAAAACTGTGTAAAAGCAACTTACCAGAGAAGGTCGTCAGGTCGGTTGGGCCATTAGCAGTGAACTGTATACCGCCGTACACTCGAGACGCTGAGCTCAAAACTGCCTTCACTATCTGCTAAACGGTTCTTTGAACGGAGTTATAAAGCAAGAAAGCGCAGCGGTAGTGCCCTGGTCTCGCAGGCAAGAGGTGGTGGGAACGGTTTCTAGAGAATCTGAATTTTTTTTCATTGTCAATGTGGCAAGGAAGCTTCTAAATTTGTTAGTTTATCAACACTTACCATTAGATGCCTGCATAAAGAGTTCGCGAGCAACTTCTTGCCTGTGAGAAAGGGCACAATCGCTGCGCTTCCTTGCTTTATAACTCCGTCCAAAAATTGCCTAGCAGACTGGGAAGACAGTTTTGAGTTAAGCATCTCAGGGAGTGCAAGGTTGATCTCATCGCAAATGGCCGGACCGGCCTGATGACCTTCCCGGAAGTAGACTACATGTGATGGTATCTTATATAAATTACTTATAAATCAAGGGGCGGAAGTGGTGTAGTGGCAAGTGGCACGCTTACCACGCGAGCGGTCCGGGGATCAAATCCTGGGTCGTGAGTCGCCCGGGCCAACCAAGCCTTCCATCCCTCCGGGGTCGGTTAATTGGTACCAGACTTGTCTGGGAGGATAAAAAACACTGACTTGTACATCGGCTGGCCCCCGCAAGTCATTGTATAGGCCACATCGCATTCAAACGCCACTACGAATGTACAAATGGAAGTAGAATGCGTGCCGCATCCCAAAAAGGGATTGATCAACGGCAAATGCTTTATCCTTATCCTTTATAAATCGGGTATGGATGTTTTGAATGGATACGTACCCAATATCCATAAATCAATGTTCATAAGCACCCACCTCAGTTACCTCAATTGTAACTCTGACTGCGCTCGAACAATATCTGAGGCGAAAGTTCCATCAGTTTCGAGCCGAGCGATCCTCGGAGTACATCATAAGTTTCAACTCATATGGTCTTAAATATCAGCAAAGATGGTGGTGGGTACACAAGAAGAACAAATGAGCGGTCTGCTCAGGGTTTTTGCAATTCTGGCAAGTAATAAAACACACTCTCTCGGTTGAAGACAACTTGCCTACGATTGAAGCCCTCAAAGGAGTGAGAGATGACGATAATCAAAGTCAAGACAGCTACAGCTGTAGTTGAATGATCAAACTGCCTCCACCTTAGAAATTACAAATGGACTACGACGAGAGAGAAACTTGTGGTTAAACGTTGTAGTTTTGCAAAAAATGAAAACAAGCGGTATAACTACAAGTCCGAGAATTGAAAAGCGTATGACAAAATAAGGAAGGTATCGAAAGGGTGTTGTGCTCTGCCTTTGAGACAGCTTTCTGTCGATAAATAAATTCAACTAGAGCTAGAAAAAATTAAAAACGTAGGTAATAATGCGATATGTAGTCGACTGGCGTAGGAGTCAATCATTGAGTGCTGAAACCTTTCTGCCTTGCAGGCTTTGAATGTACTGGATCACTCATATCTACTCGTCATGTTCTCACAGCTGCTCATTGTGTATTCGCTTCAACAGAAATCAATTTCAATAAGGAAGAGTGCCAGCGAAGAAATATCAGGTTTCCATGTTCGACTATCCATAAATCATTGGCATTTTGTACACTGGTAGGGTTGCTTCTGTAGCCGACACCAAGATGATATAATCACTTTACTGGCTAACGTTTCGGCCGTGTCGCCGTCGTCAGAGCCTGGAAGTAAGTCAAAGATAAGTGCGACCTAGCCTCCAAACACAATTTCGAACTTCAGAGCAATTCGTTCTAGACCATAGGCATCTAGATAGGAGGGGCAAGACACAAGCACTCGTTAGACTCACCTCTAATTACACGACAGGTTATTGCTTAGACCACCGCTATTCTGACCGACAGTGGGTGGCTCCAGGTGACCTGACCCCCGACATGAAGCCGTAGGCGGTCGAAGCCCGCACAGGTCAAGGAACGGTGCGAGTTCATTAGTTATTGACAGGCATTCGTCTTTCCTGTTCATTTTAGGACTTTTAGCGCCAATCCAAAATGCTTCCAGAGTCTTGCGTGCTGGGGTCTGGGGTTCGGTCATCAAAATCCTCACAGCAACCTCAAACTCCGCGTTCTCATGGCACTGCAACCTGTGGGCACCGAGGGGGGTCTCGGGTCTTGATCTTCTCATGCCGTCCAGGTGCTCCTTGATTCTGGAGCATAAAGGCCGTCCTGTTTCTCCGATGTATTCCTCCCCGCAGCTCCTACATGAGATCAGGTAGATCACTCCTGATACCATGCAGTCACCCTCCCGTCCGTTGGGACAGATGACGCAGTGGGGGGTGACACATGTGCGGTCATACCATCGATTCCGTACTAGCTGCTGCCTAAGGTTTGGGGGAGGGATCTCGACCACCCGAACGATATCGGCAAGACCGCACTTTCGTAGAGCACTTCTAATTGCTGAGCTGATCCCATCACTCAGAAAGGGTACGCAAAAGGGTACCTTGTCCGATTCTCCGGTTGCCTGTCCCTGTGGTGTCCTACCGGGAGGTCCCGAGCAGCTTCGGTGTTTGGGGGGATAGCCGTTGGAGGCAGCTATTTCTTGAGCGAGTCTCAAGGACTCTGCTGACTCCTGGCTGCCCGATGAGACCGCCTTGGCTGTCCTGAACATGTTGTCGGCGATCGCCTGCTTTGTCTTCAAGGGATGAGCTGAGCGAAAATGGACTATGATATTCTTATTGCTAGGTTTTCGGTACCATTTGGTCCGATAGAAGCCGCGATCAAGTCTGACTTGCACGTTAGAAAGGGGAGCCAGTTGTCCTTTGGCTTCTCACGCGTGAAGCGGATATTGGCTGCTTGACTGTTGAGTAAGTTGAAGCACGTGTCCATTTCCTTCGGGCTTGATCAAACGATGAAACAGTCATCAATGTAGCGGCAGTACAGAACAAACGAAATTGTGTTTGGAGGCTAGGTCGCACTTATCTTTGACTTACTTCCAGGCTCTGACGACGGCGACACGGCCGAAACGTTAGCCAGTAAAGTGATTATATCATCTTGGTGTCGACTGCAGAAGCAACCCTACCAATATCAGGTCTGTTATATGGGAACGGTCAGGTGAGGGAGGAGTGATGTGACAATGAAGAATAAGGTCATTTGGTAGTCAATAATGATAAGAGCCACTGGGTAGCGATCAAACCTAAGCATCAACAGCAGAGCTTCCCACGTGCATCCACAGTTCAGTATTCCTTCAATCACATAGGTGTAATTAAATGTGTTATACTTACTAATTTCCATTTTTGTTGCACAGTAACCGCCGCGAAATGCACGAAGGCTGGAGCATGTTCGTCGGTACCCGCTGCAGAGATCCTCAGAAGTGCAAAAGTTTTTGGCTGACGCCAACTCAGGTTCGCTGGCACACTACAGGGGTGGCCAAAAAAAGAGACACTTATGCCCATGGCGCACATCATCGAACTTTTCGTCGCACAGGGAGCCGATGTTAATGAAAGTTTTACGGCGGAATATTCCTTAGGTGTTCCCCCGTAAACAGAAGCAGGCCCTCCTTCACTGCCCCCGCCGTCTTCAGAATATGACGTCATCTGCCGTCACCGTCGAGCTCAACGAGGCTTACCGTAATCGCTCCGGCCTGAAGCTGCTACATAATTTCTTCAATGGATTAACTGTTGAATAGCTTCTTAGAGACATTAGCTGTGACTGTGCAAACCGCTTTTGACCAGCGTTTCAGAGACGTCGTAATCGGGCGACGGACTATACAATCGTCGGCTAATGAGGTCACGCCGCTCACGCGGCGAGAATCGTCGCGTGCGGCAGTTGCTGCGGCGATTTCTGTGTGGACCTTTTCTTATCCATCCATGCCCATAAGTTGGCTAGGTGACTGATAACACCAGAGTGCTGGACATCAGTAAGCCAGCAAGCGTCACTGTAAGATCCCTGCAGTGATTTAAGCCTCGCAGTACAAACTTTGTACCGTGTAAAGGTTGTCCTTTTGGATTTAATTTGACTTCTTTATTAATCAGTTTCCTGAATTTCTATCAGAGAGTGATAATCTGGTTCAATCGGAAAGAATATTGCGTATCAAGACACAGAGTAGCGGCGAGGAAGGCTCTAACATAAGCATGATATGATAAGTATGTAATAATGGCGAGCGAAAACGAAACTGCATTTTAAAGGGTAAGGTGGTTCCTATTTCATGTTTCATTACTGGAAACTTAATCTAATCTTACATTCTCCAATGTTTGAATGCTGAGCTCTTTGCAAATTCGCCGCGATACTATTGCTGGCTTTGTGGATCTGTGGGGATATGGGTCGGTCTGGAACGGCGGCGGCCGGCGCGGCGACCTTTTACTCTTACGCGACGATGTACAGGGTGGTCCAAAATTATGAGGACCGCGTGCGCGCGCAGTCATATCCACTTTTTTCCGTATCGCTCCATTTTCATCTCGTTTTCTGTGCACTATGTGAAAGGGTACAATGTCTTCTTCCTAATGAAACCAAATTTCATGAAGTTCTCAAAACTAGTGAAATAACTACTTCACTTTGAGTCAGTCCTCAAATTGAACTCACTAGGGGCTCTGGCACGTTACATCTAGCAGCAGTCTAACCTATCAGGGAAGCCCTTATGAGCAACAGTTCAACTCTTCAATAAGTTTGGAACCACCACAGATGGAAAATTCGGACTCGAAAGTTACAGTTACCACCAGGATAATTATCAGATGCAGAAACTAGGTCTCCCCTTGTCGACTTTCGTACACCCAAAATGAAAAAATTGATGTGAAAACCCAGCCAGACACTCTAAAGACTCCACATCTGTAGTGGATAGAAAGCCACACGAGTAGTCTACTTGGGACTTCTTACAGGACCGAGCACCCAAGAATAAAGCAAAAATTCTCTAAAAAGCGATTTTTCGAGTTCGTTGCTTTCGAAGAATTGTTACAATGGAACCTTCCACCTGATAGCTCTAGATTTCTGTATTTCACACCCTGGATGCAAGCGCAAATAAATGCCCCACAAAACTTTGATTCCCTGAAGAAGGCAGAGCAGAAGGCCTGGAAACATTTGGACACGCCTCAGTTGCGTGCCACCGCACGCGCCATCCCCTTCATCTGAAGGCTCGTGTAACGGGCAGGTGGCAGATCTCAATTCTATTCTGGAATTACTTTGAGATAAGTTGCAAACACTTCCCTGAAGTTGGTTTGTTCCATCAAGCTACTATGCGTTTTTAACGACACAATGTCTTGGTCCTCATAATTTTGGACCACCCTGTATAAGCACGCAGCCAACTATGGTATCTCAACGACCTCGTTGAGCTCGTACCATGCACAGTGCTTCTGTGGGAAAATCTTCTGATGTCGTCGGTGTAGAAGCTGTTGTGTAGCATGTTGATAGATTAAAACGTGCTCTCTAATATTTAGTTGGGTAAATAATTCCGTTTTGAATGTGGAGTGAAGTGTCTCTTTTTTTTGTCCACCCCTGTATGACCCTGTTGACTATAGGGATATAAATTGACAAGGTAATATCAAAGTTTAAGGTGTACTTTCATGAAGATTTCGACGAGTGCTCTGGACATAACGATATAGCTATATTCGAACACAGTGAGGACATCCCCAGCTTCATAGCTACACCGATTTGTCTACCTCCAAAAAACATCAAGATTTCCACGTTACTGAAAGCAGCAGGAGCTGGATTGATGGGACGTATGTCTTTGAAATACAAGATTTGAGAACGTAGTAGCCGGTATGAAAGGACGTGCGTTCGACTCCATAACACACTATGTTGTACCTCGCAATTACAGTAGGCTTGCTGAGCCCACCCCATGTTAGTGGGCAGGCCCAGGTGGTCAACAGTGTGAGCTGGAAGAGCCTCGGAGGCCCTACAACAACAAAGATGTGCATATTCGCATTTTATCGCATGGGGGCTCTGAGGTGCGAATTGTGCTACAGTAAAGAAAAAAAGTGAATGGGGGTCCTTCCTCCTCCAGCTAGTAATTCTAAGCGTAGATGAGGAGAGGAATGATAATGAGAGGGAGGTTTACATGTCAGCAATATAAAAAACCACTCTTTCGATCAATGCAGCCGTTGGCTCTAACTACGAAGCTGATTTGTAGCGAAGCAGTCTATTTCGCTTTTTTGCGATATTCTGACCTTCATTTTAACCAGTAGAACACTGACGCCTTTCAGGAGATAAGGCGTGGACCGAGATGCTCATGGTAACTTGCTTCTCACGCTCATTCTGCAGCTTCGGCGACTCCTGTGTTGTCGACCCATGTCTTTACCCTAATTGCCGACGTGCTCCCATTGTTGAGTCTTACTTCACCTACGCCATTAGGTATATAACCTGGATGTTTTCATGTCTCTGAAAAACTGAAGCAAAGAAGCTTTTCAATCCATTAGCGGTGAATTCCGCTCCCGATTGAATCGGAACATACAACAACAGCTTCCAACGGCTGTAACTCTTACCATAAAGCTATGACACTGACCATGAGACTTTCTCATCTTATCGCTGAAGTATGCTGAGATAGGGGGTTGTCAACCGAGAGCCGTTCTGACGCATCTGGAACGTGGAATATTGCTAGGACCACTGCCTCTCCGCACAAGTTTTGAGCCACTCACGGATCTAACACGAAGGAGTTTAGCTAACGCAAATAGGGAAAGAGCTATTACCTCTCCGTTAGAACCTCTATCAGATCTCGACTGGATTCAGAATGTGGCACACACCACATATCTGTCACGGCCTAGAGGAGGATATCACCCTTAAGACGGAAGAACAAAGGAAGAGGAAGCCTCTCTGTTAGAAAGACAGGCGGAACTTCAAAGCATTGACACGCATTTTGCAGAGACGCCTAGCATGACCATCTTCTCGCGGCGGCACGCCCACCCTCTTCAGCTTGGCCATTACGCAGAAAGAGCGTTACCGTTGAGGAGGGAGCACAGATGAGAGTCGCATCAATGCGGAAAGCGCCATTTGTCATATTTTTTATTCTCGCACCAGTAATGAGCTCTACCTTGATATTTGATGAGCTGCCTTCTCACGCAAACTCAACCTTCAAAAATATTTTTAAAAAATTCAGCGGACGACACTGAACCTGAAGATCAACCGCAAGGGTTTCAAGTAATGCAGGACCTTGTAATGTTGAAAACGAAAGAGAAATTCATAGTGATGAAGACTCCTTTAGGTTTAGGCCTTTGTGGCGTGAGTGATATTTGATTTATTATCAAATCAGTTCGCTTCAACAAAAACCTGCTGATCCCAAGTTTTTGGTATTTAGGGCGACAGCGGCGGTCCGCTGTTTCAGTATAACAAACGCAAACAAATTACTCAAATAGGAATAACTGCTAGTGGTAACTCGTGCACTACTAGTAAGTTCTCGTGACACTTGAAAGTTCTTTTCTTCTATTTCTACGTCCTACTGTCACAGTTATCGAAGGTGTTACGCTCTGTGATTGCACGCACAATTCGCACGGTGTGATGTTCCTCCTCCAGTAAACAATCTTTTTGCACGTTGGACCGGTTCTACAGTAACCGCGTTTGCGGTGAAGCGCGCAACATCACTGTTCTGAGTCTTCGACGTGCCCTGTTTCCGCTTCTCTGCGCACTCTACAACGAGAAGCGAGCAAAGGAGCGTCAGTCTATGCAGAACCATCGCTCCAGAAAATGGAGTATTATGGTGGAGCCATCCAACCGCGAGAGAGAGAGCGGCGGCAGTTAAGGCTTTTCCACGCAAAGCGCGCGCACTGTTCGCCTCGCCGCATAGGCGCCCCCTGAGGCTGCGTTAACCCTTAGACTACGACTTTTTTAGAAACAAGTTATTGATGTGTTTTGTGTAGTAACAGTCGCTCCTAGCAACAACTAATCATCTGTAGAAATTTGGCTGACGCGCGCTGGGTTTGAGCTGGGATTCGATCCAGAGACCATATGCGCGGCAGTGGCCCCTCCTGTCACCACACCATCTCCGCTCGAATGAGCATTTTTGAACAGTTCAAATACTATTCAACAAATACACA